ATTGTAATTGGAGAAAAAGGTCAAGTCTAACAGATGTTACTTATTATCTTGCTGCAGCAAATTTTGACATTGTACAGTGCTCAATATCTGAAAATTAAAATGAATCCGCTAACTTCAATAAAGCTCTACCAGAGGTCAGAAAGTCTCAAGTGGAAAGAGCTTCAGCTACACATTGCATGATACCATCTGAATTCCTAAAAATTCTTGCTTCATCAGCCCTTACCATCCTACAAATATTTGGCATCATAATACTTATTTACCGTGGGTTATTTAATTTGAAAGAGGTTGCATTCTTATTTTGTCTGCTTCTGAAAGGGAAAGACTAAGATTTTGAATTGAAGATTTGAATTATATTTTAATTTACATCATGGCAGGTTGTTTCATTTTAACATTAGGTTGCTGAATTTCCTCATGTCTTTACAACACGGGCAGCATGGTGGCTCAACAGGCGGCACGGTGGCTCAGTGGTTAGCACTGCTGCCTCACAATGCCAGGGGACCTGGGTTCAATTCCACCCTCGGGTGACTGTCTGTGTGGAGTTTGCACATTCTCCCCGTGTCTGCGTGGGTTTCCTCAAGGTGGTCCGGTTTCCTCCCACAGTCCAAAGATGTGCAGGCTAGATGGATTGGCTGTGCTAAATTGCCCGTGGTGTTCAGGGATGTGTAGGTTAGGTGGGTTATAGGGGGATGGGTCTGGGTGGGATGCTCTGAGGGTCGGTGTGGACTTGTTGGGCCAAAGGGACTGTTTCCACACTGTAGGGATTTTATGAAACAAACTAATTCCCGGAGTACAGAATTTGATTAAGTTGTTTTACATTTCTATCTTTCATGTACAAATTATTATAGCATTTTAGCAGTGTATGGAAGAGACAGGATAGTGAAAAGTAAACAAGATTGTTTACTCAGTCTACAAAACCACTGTGATTTTGATGGCAACAGATAGTATTAACTATCTAAATGTAACAACAGCTTTGCCTAGCACTGTAGAACTGTCAGACGCTTGTTATAATATCTGTGGAGATGAATAACATGAAAGAACTGAACTTCGCAAGTGATGACAACAGAAAAACCCAATTAACAATACTTTAATTTTTAAATTCAAAATCAACATAAACATGCACTAACACTTAAATATTAATCAACAGAAACCATAAGTTATGCTTCAAAAAGCTAATTAAACGCAAGTAGATCTGATGGGTTTACTGGTAGTTACTCCAACACACTTGGCACCATGTCCAGTCCCAGAGTCCTTCACAACTCTGGCTTCTGTAAGTGTTCCTTCGGTTCCCTAATGGATGATTTGAACAAGTGGTCTCAGACAGCTGCCTTACTCCATTTGTCCCCCACTGTTATAATTACCACCAAAAAGTTCTTGTCACTGCAAGAACTGACAACACTCAATTTATAACAAACCTGATGCATAGCTTCTCTAGGGAGGCCTTCATCCAATCATTCAATAACACCCTGGTACATTGTCGAGTCAGCTCTGGTTTGAAACCACTCAGCTTCTCAATACTGCTGAATTACTTGTGTAGTTTGTCCCAGTTCTGACTACAGCTGAAAACTGATCTGCCTTGTTTCATCCCAATTAGCTTCTGTTTCTGTGAGCAACCCAAGGTCAAAGCCCATTTGATGGCTTTCTTCTTTATCTGGTTCTCATTTTCCTATCAACCTGGGGTCAGAAACCTGAAATCACAACCGAACTACAGCTATTTTATCAAATGTTATGTTATTAAGCTATTGATAAAGAAAAGACACTGCAAATCTCAGTTTTCTTTTAAAAAAGCAAGAGGCTTGCTCCTAGGTTGCTTTGCTAATCAGTAAAGGGAAGACTGTTACTAAATCATAGATAACAAAGGCAGTAATTTCTTAATTTTCTTTTTCATTGCATTCAAGCAAATGGAAACCACATCAAAGTATAAACCTTTTTAGCATAGGATCCTGTCCACAATATTATCTATAAAATTTCTGCTCAATCTCTTTAGTCTTTACACTGCCTTCAATTCTTTAATTATTCTTCTCCTTCATTATTTTCTATTTTTATGGCATTTTTGTGACCCGATTCCCTCAAACTTTCACATTGTTTTCAACAAGGAGCTATATTTGCAGTGATTTGGGTTCAGGGAAGGAAGCTGAAAATGTTGTAATCTTTTCATGGCAGAAACCACCTATGCAAGGATTCCTGTCTTGTCATGACTAGATCAAATTTGTAGCTGTCATCTCAAGCTAACTGTAACATACTGCTCAAGATTAACTTGTACTTCCGTTCTCACATTAAATCCATGACCAAGATTGTTTTCTTTACTGCCTGAATCATTAACCACAACTCCCTGTATGGTTAGCTTATCACCCCTGAAGACTTCCAATCCAGGCTGAAATGTCAGTCAGAAAATCACACTATGTGGAAAATAGTCACTGAGTGATTTTCCATGAGGTGGTCTATTAATAGCTAGGGTGTACAAGGCCAATTAATTGTTAGAGGAGAGGGTGGGCTCACTATCCAATTAAGGACAGCAGGCAGGATCCCTAACCTAGAGGACATATCAGTCATCTTCCAATTTGAAAAGTGCATAGAATTTTAGGGCACATAAGGATGTTCCCGATGGTGGATGTGTCCAGAACCAGGGGTCACAGTATGAGGATTCAGCGTAGACGATTTAGGACAGAGATGATGAGACATTTCTTCACCCAAAGAGTGGTGAGCCTGTGGAATTCATTACCACAGGAAATAGTTGATGCCAAAACATTGAATGTATTCAAGAGGTGACTATATATAGCACTTGGGGCGAATGGGATCAGAGGTTATGGGGAGAAAGCAGGATTAGGGTATTTCAAAATGGAAGCAACGTCTCTTCATTGTAATAGGACCTCCAGCAAAGAAAGGCGACAGTGAGGGAGGGCAGCTGGAGCAGTCAAATGAACTGTCACTGGAAACAAAAGTGTCTTTGCTGATGGGAACGGAGGGCAGGCAGATGAAGGAATTCCTCAGCACAACGTACATGGTCCTTCCATGTACACACTGTATATAGTTCTTATTGATCCTTAACTTCTCTCACTTTTTGTATTGACCCAATGCCAGCAGAATGAAGGATCTCTCCTCAATGATCTTTGAGTGATGGCGTTTGTGCAAATCCCATGTTATGATTTTTGGCATAGTCAGTGAGGTGAGGGGTGCAAATTTGAGAGCAAGATCCTACATTAGCTTCACAAGATCTATGGCATTGCCAAGAGCTGTGCCACTCTCTAACAGCCACTCAGTGTCATCCAGAGGATAATGGGCAGTGTGAACAATTCAGCTGGCATGACCGTCTTGCCTTGCCTACTGAGCGTAAACTAAAGTGGCCTAAGTACCTTGTGGAGCTCTATACTAGATCCTTCAGCATAATCTCAACTGGTTGAGTGAGCGGGCAAATCAATGGCAGATGCAGTATAATTTGGATAAATGTGAGGTTATTCACTTCGGAAGCAAAAACAAGGAGGCAGGTTACTACCTGAATGGCTGTAAATTGGGAGAGGGGGGAGTGTGCAGCGGGACCTGGGTGTCCTTGTGCACCAGTCGCTGAAGGTAAGTATGCAGGTGCAGCTGGCGGTAAAGAAGGCAAATGGTATGTTGGCCTTCATTGCGAGAGGTTTTGAGTACAGGAGCAGGGATGTGATGTTGCAGTTGTACAGGGCCTTGGTGAGACCACACCTGGAATATTGTGTGCAGTTTTGGTTCCCTTTTCTCTTGCTCTCGAGGGAATGCAGCGAAGGTTTACCAGGCTGATTCCGGGGATGGCGGGTCTGACGTATGAGGAGAGATTGACTAGGTTAGGATTGTTTTCACTAGAATGAGGGGGGATCTCATAGATACTTATAAAATTCTAACTGGACTGGACAGGATAGATGCAGGGAGGGTGTTCCTGATGATGGGTGTGTCCAGAACCAGGGGTCACAGTATGAGGATTCGGCGTAGATGATTTAGGACGGAGATGATGAGACATTTCTTCACCCAAAGAGTGTTGAGCCTGTGGAATTCATTACCACAGGAAGTAGTTGATGCCAAAACATTGAATGTATCCAAGAGATGACTATATATAGCACTTGGGGCAAATGGGATCAGAGGTTATGGGGAGAAAGCAGGATTAGGCTATTGAGTTGAATGATCAGCCGTGATTGTGATGAATGGCAGAGCAGGCTCGAAGGGCCAAATGGCCTCCTCCTGCTCCTATCTTCTATGTTTCTATGCTCACACTCATCCATGGGCTATCCTTCATGTATTGCACTTTAGATGAGACCCAGTTCTTCCTGGGGACAGTCTTCTCGAGCTCACCACACCCTCTGAGAACGGCCAGGTCAGTGGATAGCTGGGCATCACACGAGGCCAAGCTAGGCATTTGAGCTGATGTCCAAGAGGTGAGAGAGTAATGCTGAGAGCAAGTACATGAACTAATAAGTAGGCTGACAGTACTGAACTTTCAATCGGCATAATGTTATTCCTCCAAAATTGGAATATGAGGGGTTGGAATAAAATACAGGGCATGTGGGACCCAGAGCCCCACAGAGCCAGCAAGCGTCTGGCCACATGTATGTTGTTGAACCAATTGAAGAGGCAGCCATAGAAAATACCTCATATAGGGAAGTTTTCCTCGACATCTCTGTTATCTCCATATCACTCCATCAACATTCCTTCCCCAATCCATTTGTCTATCTAAGGTGCTCGGAGGTATGTTTCTGTGTGTTAAGGTGCCTAAGATATGCAAATGGTTGTTAAACTTTTTGCTGATCGCTTTAAGGAAATGTTGTTATTTATAGAATGGGATCATACCCATTATTAATTTTAGTTATCAATCCACATAAATTGATGGAATACTTGTTTCTTTGGTGTCACCAGAATCATGGTTTGGATCACTGTCAGACAACAAATACCTGTATTTAAACTTTGGTAATTGTAGTTGACTCGATATGAGTAAAACCCAACAATGACCTATTTTGCCTTCTCCATTTTTCGTCTGCCTGTAGGTTATTCTCCAGTCTCAGTATTATCACAGAACTGACACATCCAGCCAATATGAGATTCATGCAGTTCAGGGCTAAAGACTGCTATTCATTGGCTTTGTCTAAACTTGAGAAGGTGAGAATTTTGTTTTATATATTTTTACATTCCTGAAGTCTACATTTTCATTTTACGATGATAATATGTAATAATGTAGCTGTGTTTCAAACAAAATGTAGCTGCATCATTAAAATTGGCAATTGTTGATCTTTCTATTTCTTTGAATATGTAATCTCATAAGTGCCTGTTTCCAAAAAGTAACACCAGAAATTTATCTCCATATTCACTTAGAACAATACAAAAGGAATGAAACATTTCTGTCAGTGCTTTCTGTAAATCCTGGAAATTATGTTGCTGTGATTTTTGTAATCCATCCTGTATTAGTTAACATCCTTAAACATAAAGATAGAAACTAAGAAATAAAGAAGCTCAGAAAGAAAGAAACTAAGAAAGAAACTAACAATCCATTTAGTATCTTTCTTGCCTCAGGACATACCAAAGTGCAGTGCTGCTCGTTAATACTTTTCCATTGCAATCTCATTGAAGCTCCTGTAATATATCGAGAAGTTGAAGGTCAGAACTTTTTAATCGTGGTTAATTTGTATTTTTAAATACATCAGTGTAGAGAGAGGTTCCTCCAGCAATGACTATCATCACATATCTCCTTGGTATCCATCCCAGTATATAGAATGATGGGAAGTGACCTTATTGAAATATACAAAACCCTGTGGGAAGTTGATAGAGTGGACAATGAGAGAATATATATGGGATAAATTAGAACTAGGAGACACAATTTTTTAAAAATCAGCTTTCCATTTTGGAATGAAAATGAGATTTTACTTTCCCTGAGTGTCATTAGTCCATGGAAATCATTTCCGCAGAAGACAATGGAGGCTGAGTCATTCAAGTTATTCATTTTTCATAGGCAAGTCAGTCAAAGGTTATAGAAGGAAAGTGAAGTTGGCAGCACAATCAGATCACCCATGATCTTGTTGAGAGATGGAACAGGCCCAAGGAGCCAAATGGTCTACTTGTGCTCTTAAGACCTGTGTACCTATCACCAAATCAAATAAACACTATGGTTCTAAGTTGGAGGATAAATTCAACATTTGAAAAGGGCACATCTCAATGCATCAGTGCTTTAAATCTATCTTGAACTCACACTTCATTAGAATGGGACTGTCTGTTGGGAGCAGTTTGTGTTGAGAATACTACCACACCATATGTTTCAGAAAATAGTCTGCTTCAGGGTAAGCTCCAAAAACATTTCTGCTCAAAATGTGCACTCTTAATTAATGCTTGTTGTCATCATTCCCAGTTCCATTGTCATGGTGACAAGATAACCCTTTTTTGTATAATTTAATTCATTTCAAGTTTGTCAATCAAAGATTTTTACAAAATGATTGAGAAGTTGTGGTTCAGCATTTCATTTTGTTTTGCAATTTATGTTGTGGATCAGTTTACAGAACATTTCCATTTACAGTGCCTGTACCAGTTGGCACTAATACCTTCTTTTTTGTTGAGTGTAAGATCTGCCCAGTTTGCAAAAGACAAAAAAAAATGCTCCAATCACGATGAGATTTCATATGCAAAACATCCAAAGAGGTGAACTAATCAATTAATTTATTAATTAAGCGAGAAAAGCAAAATATAGCCTTTTTCTTTATCTTAAATTACCTTTCATGGATTGTGTGCACTGCTGATCAAGACAGCATTTATTACCTGGTATGGTTCAGTTTCTGGTTGATGATAACTCCCAGGGTGTTGATATTGGGGAATTCCGTGATAATGCTCCATTGAATGCTAAAGAGCAATACAGGGTAATAAGATTCTCTTTTTTCAAAATTCATTCACTCCTGGGACGTGGGCATTGCTGGCTAAGCCCAGCACTTATTGCCTATCCTTAGATGACCTTGAGAAGGTGGTGGTCAGCTGCCTTCTTGAAATGTTGCAGTCAATTTGGTGTAGGTAGACCCATAATGCCATTAAAGTGGAAGTTCCAGGGTTTTGACCCAGTGACAATGAAGGAACGGCAATATATTTCCAAGTCAGGTTGATGAGTGGCTCGGAGGGGAACCTGCAGGTGGTGGTGTTCCCATGTATCCGCTGCCCTTGTCTTTCTAGATGGAAGGGGTAGTGGGTTTGGAAGGTGCTATCTCAGGACACTTGGTGAATTTCTTTAGTGCTTCTTGTAGATCGTACACATTCCATCACACTCCTGATTTGCGCCTTGTAGATCAGGGACAGGCTTTGAGCAGTCAGGTGGTGAGTAACTCTCCGCAGTATTCCTAGCTTCTGATCTGTTCTTTAGTTGCAGTATTTATATGGCTAGTCCAATTCAGTTTCTGCTCAATGGAAACCCCAGGATTTTGATTGTTGGGAATTTAGTTATAGTAGTACCATCAAATATCAAGATATGATGGTTAGATTCTCTCTTGTTGTAAATGATCATTGCCTGGCAGTTGTTTGGCTACTTGTCACTTGTCAACTGAACCCTGGACATTGTCCAGTTTCATTTGAACATGAACTGCTTCAGTATCTGTGGAGTCTGTGAATGGTGCTGAACATTGTGGAATCATTAGTTAAAATCCCCACTTCTGACCTTATGGTGGAGGGAAGGCCATTGATGAAGCATCTGAAGATGATCAGGCCTGGGACACTACCTTGAGTATTCATTAGTATTGCCAGTCTATTGTCAAGGCCCATAGACTTTGCAGCACCTTTGCAATCATGTCTTGATATCAAACAGAGTGAAACAAATTGGTGAAAACTAGCATATCTCAAGCTGGAAACCTCTGGAGGTGGTTGATGTGGATCATCCACTCAGCAGTTCTGGCTGAAGATAGTTGCCATAAGACCAAAAGATACAGGAGCCGAATTAGACCATTCGCCCATTGAGTCTGCTCTGCCTTTCGACCAGGCTGATATGTTTCATAACCCCATTCTCCTGCCTTCTCCCTGTAACCCTTGATCCCCTTTCTAATCAAGAACCTATCTATCTCTACCTTGAGTACATTCAATAACTTGGCCTCCACAGCCCCCTGTGGCAATGACTTCCACAGATTAACCACCCTCTAACTGAAGAAGTTCCTACTCCTCTCAGTTCTAAAGGGTCATTCCTCCTCTGTGAGGCTGTGCCCTCGGGTCCGAGCCTCTCCTGCTAGTTCTCCACGTCCACTCTATCCAGGCCCCTCAACAAGTTTCAATTGAACTTCATTGAGCACAGACCCAATGCAAATGCATCAGCCTTATCTTTTAGACTGATGTGCTGGGTGCCCTCTTCATTGAGAACGGGGCTATTTGAGGAGCCACTCCTGTTAATTGCTACCATGACCGTTCTCGATTGAATGTGCCACAAATGCAGAGCCTGATTGAGATCTGTTGTTGCATAATTAGTGAAAAGCACAAATAGGCAAACCACATGAAGGATTTATCAATCCAACAAAATAATGTTTGATGCAAACTAGATGTTTTCTGAATGAAAACCTTCCTACTCTTAATGCAGCACTATTCATACTTGGATCATTTGTATTGGCTCAGGTTGCACTGGTTGTGCTCCTCGTTTCAGGATTTCTGTTGAGCATCTTTCAACCAAATCGAGCTGCAAAAGAGCTCCATTTAAAGTCGTCTCTTTAAATGCTGGGCATATTCTCACAAGTTTAATAAAAAGCACACTAAGTGGAAAGGTAATTTGTATGCTGCACACAGTGCTTTTTTTAGACCCAACAATCAATCAATCGCTTTAAAGAGATAAAATTGCAGTTTCCCATGTTGTATTCATCAGGACAAAGGTAACTAATAAGCCTGCAAACAAAAGGATGTATTGCATCCTTGTATCTTCTTAATTGCCCAGCAGCTTTGGGAGCTAATGGTACCCCCATTGCTTTCTCAATGCGATGCCTCCATCCATCAGAGTTAACTTTTTTTAAAAAAAGCTACTCATTCACAAAGTGTGGGCATCAGCATCTAAACCAGCCCATTCCTAATTAATCCAGAGACCATGAGATGAGCTGCCTTCTCGAAGAACAGCAGTCCTTGGGGTGTAAGGACACCAAGAGTGCTGTTCAGAGGGATGTTCAGGATTTTGGACCAACATCAGTGAAGGAACAGCAATATAGCTGCAATTCAGGATGGTTTGTGACTTGAAAGAGTACATGCATGAGGTAGTATTCCCATGTATCTGCTGCTCTTTTTGTTGTAACTGGTCGTGGTTGCTGCAGGGTTACTGGTGAATGAGACTTGATGAGTTGATGCAGCGCTTCTTGTACGTGGTGCGTTCAGCTGTCAACATGTGTCAATGGTAGTGGAAGTAAATGTTAAGGATGGGGAAGGGATTCCATTCAAGTGGACTTCTTTGTCCTGGATGGTGTCAAGATTGCTGAGTGTTGTTGCAGCTGTACCCATCCAGGCAATTGGGGAGCATTTCATCACACTCCCGATTTGTGTCTTGTACCGTGACCAGTCCCCAGGCGAGGCTCCCCAATTCATTACAATTCCAGACGGGATCTTCCAAATGAGGAGGGATGAATTGGTACCCCTTCATTGTTCTTTAACTGTACATTTGCTGGTTCTCGACGGGTTTTGCAGTTTCTTTCTTTCCAAGAGGCAAATGCAGCTTAAGTTTGTTTGTTTATTTTTTGTTTACTTTTGTTGTTGCTGAATAAAAGCGATGGGTTCGAAGGTTTCCCTGTATGTGATGGTCCCACATTGTAACCCAGCATCTTATCCTTATTCAGTAGACATTGAACCAAGAGTAGAGCAGAGTCCTTAGAGAGTTGTAAGATGAGACATAGCTAAGGAGAGATAAGCTGTGTGGCCCGGTGCTTGGAGAGATAGGTATAGCAATATGCAATTGTGTGTGCAAGGAAGTGTCAGCTATATCATCTCAGTACCATGAGAAGCATTGATCTGGGGCTGAGGCAACTATGGACTGCCAATGCTTGGCTGGGTGCATGCCTGGGAATCAAAGATGGTGCAATCCTGGGATATCCCATTAGGGGTGACAACTTCCATTCCTGAAAGTGGGAAAATCATGATAGCATTAGATAAGCAAGGGGTGTGGCACATTGGTAATGAGG